TTCCCCTCTCCAACTTCTCCACTGCCTTAACCGGGTATTGAATACATACTCTTTGAGTCCTGTCACTGGATCTAACCAACACCTTTATCCACTGTGCCATGTGTCCTTGAGGACACATGGCACAGTGTGAGTTCAATACCTGGTTAAGGCAGTGGAGTACTTGGAGAGGGGAATTAACAGGAGATAACTGACATTCCTTAAAAACATGGCACGTGGAACTAGAACAGTCTACTCCAGTGAGCGAAATAAAGGGTTCAGTTTGACATTCTAACCATCTGAAGAAGGCCAGAGTGTACATGGCCGAAACATTGTAATAAATATGGTGACAAAGATGAGGACAATAGTCCGAATAATGTAAATAGTGTACATAATACCTCATCTCAGAAATATAGACAGATACTGAAGGTAAATAATGTTTTGCAAATGTGGCTCTTGTTGATGTATCAAATAGCCAGAATTGATATTGGGTCCAAGCTATGTTGCTGACATCATTTACTGTGTTCTAGTTCCTGCTTAAAATACATTTTTGTAACAATGAATCAGGTCAACCCAATAAGAGACTTAAAGTTGGTTGTATGTAGAGCTGTAAGCAGCATGAGTTATGTCCTCTTCCATAATGGACTGTTGAGAGAAGACGTATTTCGAGAGCATATAAACAATACCGGGCAGGTATTAGCTAATAGTCCGTGTCGGTCTAGGACTGGGAAAACTATATAACACCAGTTCTTTTCTCAGTCTGCAAGGTGCTTTCAATGTGTATATGTGCAGAAAACAAGACAAACACAATTTTCTTTCTCACACTCCCAATGACTCATGTGAGTTGAATGCATTGAGCCAATATAAATTTTGGACTATTTTACACATTACCAACTGATACATTTGTTAACAGTTATTTGCATACACACACAGAAAAAACAAAACAATAGATTTAATACATAAAATGTTTATTCTTTTTCATAAAACCTGTATATCAAAGCAGAATTGATTGAGAAAAACAGTGTTGAGGGGGAATGGAGAAAGAAAGTGTGTGGTTGGAAGAAAAATATCGTTTTAGAACTATAATTAATAGAAATATCTAAGTTGAAATCCTTTAGTCTTCATTTTGCATTTGGCTTTTATTTACCAGTTAAAAAAGAAACCCTTTTTCTTATTTTTGTGTGTGAGTGTGTGTTAATATTTAATTTATTAAAAGCCTGTTACTATTTACTGTTACTATGAAAAATATTGTTTTAGAACAATGTTTTTCAACCTTTTTTTTTTTTTTTTTTCTCATGGCACACTTGAACCTATAGTTAAACTTCTGCAGTAGATTTTTGTCTTTTTAATTGGTATCACCCATGTAAGGCAGTAAAGCCACTAAGACACAAGGAGTTACAGGGTATAGAAGAATTAGGAAAAGGAACATTAATAATGAGTGGGAAGGGCAAAGAGTAATCAAGAGGACAGTGGATAGCAATTGACACTGCATTTAAATCTTTGCAGATCAAAGTTGGCTGGAAAGCATGGAGCCGAAAGGGAGTTCCACAAGCGAGAAAAGAAACTGTTAGCATATCATTTCTGGTTATATCTAGCCAGCTCAACTGTAAAATGATGAGACCTTGATGCCAGTCTAGTACTGTGCTTAAATTCGAAAAGCCTAGGTATCCTATTTACATTATTTGGACTCTTGTCCTCATCTTTGTTGCTATATTTATCACATTTTAGGGCACATGGCACAGTGGATAAATGCATTGGTTAGATCCAGTGATAGGACCCAAAGAGTTGTGAGTTTATACCTGATTAAGGCAGTGGAGAACTTGGAGAGGTGAATTAACAGGAGATGACTGATAATGGACATCCATTAGACATGGCATCTGAAACTAGAACAGTCTACTCCAGCAAACGAAATAAAGGGTTCAGTTTGACATTTCAACCACCTGAAGAAGGCTGGAGCGTACAACGGCTGAAATGTTGTGATAAATATGGCAACAAAGATGAGGACAATGGTATGAATAAAATAGTGTACATAATACCTCATCAACAGAAATATAGACGGTCTATGTATCATAGTGAAGAGTTTATCTGAGCAAATTACCATGAAAAGTATTTATAAAAAAGACACAGAGAGGCAACCATATGACAGATTATGATCAAATAAAGAGTATACTTTTTATGATTTATTAACACAAACGAAACAATTTATTATAATTTGTGATAAAAAGATAATAATTAAAATTTTTTAAATCAGATGTCTGATATTGACATTTAGAATATTTTCTACACTTCCAGACATAGACAGGGGCCTCTATCCATAAAAGTACTTATGCAGGAATCCCATTACAAGTTATTACAATTGGAGCAATTATCAATCAACTCAAAAATATATTGGCCCTTTGTTGTTTGGAGTGATTGACAAAATAAAATGTCTTCTTTACAAAAAAAATCTACTGAATGGTAGAAGTTTGATACCTCAGATATCTTTACATTCATACAACTGAATTGTTTATTTCTTTCAGGTGAGATATTAATTGAAATTATATTTTCAGATAAATCTTTAATACGTTGAGAGCAGAATTTTTAAAAATTACCTTTAAAAATTATTACCTGAGAGCAGAATTTTTAAAAATTACCTTTTCGTATTCTTCCCCAAGAATTATTTGAACAATTGTACAGCAGGTCGGTAAAATAATGAATTTTACAATTGTATGATCTTTTTTCTTTTTTTTTTTTTTTTTTTTTCATAATTATGACTTCTGTAACTGTTTAACTCATTTCTTGTGCTTTATCTGATATTGTTGCATATTTGGTTCATATTTTTGTTTGTTTTATATTCCACCGGCTTTTCAGACAAGTCAGAATGTCTAGATTGTAAATGTCTATTTAATTTGATAGGAACTATAGCTTTATTTGCTAATGTTTCCATCACTACATATGAAACCAAATAATAAATAATCTTCTTTAGCTTGACTAATAACTTGTTTTCCATTTGATTGCTGATGAACTGGATGAAGTTGTATTCGATGCATTAGCATTGTCTTCTAATTTTTTCTTTGTAATTAAAAACATGCCTGTTTTAATTAAATGGTATGTAATAAAAATAAAAAAAATATGATCAGTACTAGCTGTACGTCCTCACTACTTTGAGCACAATTCAATACGTGTACAACGAGTGATCACCGAATCATACCCAAAATCACCATCTGCAAGTATTTGTCAAATCGCGTCATCTTTGGAAGTCTCACACAGCCTCCTTTCACACACACCACTCACTCATATATATAATTATTTATTTAAAAAAAAATTTATAACATAAATATGTTATAAAGTCACTACAAAAATAGCCATTTTGTTTTAACACCCCTGGTGTCTTATCAATTCATGATGTTGAATGTAAAATAAATGGTTTTAAAAGTTCCAAATTAATTAACAATCCTTCGCAAGGGGAAAACGTTGTTACAAAAGCTAGATTGACCAATCAAAATACAAGTATAGGAAAATTCAAAAAGCTTGACAACGAAGTCATGTTATAATAGCTATTCAGATCTTTAAAATATGGGTAATATTAAAAAAAGAATTTATTCTAACCAATAATTACTAAATTATATGATAAAATTTAATATTAAAATTAAAAACTACCAATTTCAAAATCCAAATTTAATCGCTATTAAGTTTACAACCATAAAATTACTGAGGAGAAAAGAAGAAATACATATGTTATTCAATTTATTTCTTCATTGAAATTACGTTAGACGCTAATGTTATATCCAGTCCTCTGACAATATATATGTATACATTTTAATCCCTAGTATGTGAATGGGGTCCTAACCTCACGCATAAAACAACACAAACACAATCAGATTATAATACATAAGCACCCAGACATATTTTTATATATATATATATAAGCAAGTGTAAATGGATATAAATCCGACAGAATGAAGAAATTTTGAAAAAAACAAAAATCAAAATGTAGTTAAATGAAATTTCATTTAACTACATTTAAGGATTTTTGTTTGTTTTTTCAAAATTTCTTTATATATATATATATATATATATATATATATATATATATATATATATATATATATATATATATATATATATACACACACAAAAGTGACGAGACAAGGAACATCTCCACGGCCCTTTATGAAAAAATAAAATAAAAAAATAAAAAAGGGGAAGGAAAAGAAGAAACCAACACATACGTACATACATACACAATTAAAAGTGAATGCACTTTCCATACACATAGACAATTATAAATACATGCACACACATCCACAGACATTAACCCAGACAATCAGATACCACAACCAATAAATATTTAAGACTGAAAGTGTCATTAAACAAATGCTAACCACTTATTAAAATATAACTTAAGCGAGCAAATATACAAAGATAAAAATGATTAAAAATAATATTATCTAATATATTAAAAAACGAAAATTCCAAACCCACGAATATCAATAAAAACATATATTTTGATCAGATAAGTCCGTATACACCAATCATATACTTGGGTGTGTGTATATATATATATATATATATATATATATATATATATATATATATATATATATATATATAATACAGTCACGGGCAAATGTCACTGATGACCTGTTTAAGTTCCAGTTTATTATATTGTGAAAAAATAACTCCCCCCACCCACCCTCTGCGTTTAATTTTCTATTTGGTGTAGATCTGGCACTTGATTCTTTCTCACTTATGGGTTAAGTAATAGGACTTGTAACTAATCTATAAGAAGGTTAACTCTAGATGCAAAGCCCTTGTCAATAAGGTATGAGCCAGTGTGGAAATTTAACAGAATTTGGAAACACCTACGTCCTGCACTAGACTGAAAATAAATAGCTGATATGAATAAATAAAAACCATATACCCGATGATCTATTTCATTTACAATATTGAAAGAGTGTGATAGCCTTGAACATATAGTCACCTTCACATCAGGGTTAATATTCAGTATTACTTTAAATTGTTTTACCTTTTTTCCTTTTCAGGGTCAACTTTCAGTTAGAAGGATGAAACCAGTTTGAATTGTCTTTGGCTGTGATCTATGCCTCATCCAAATTTTATGCCTGGCTTAAAACCATGCTCAGTTAAGCCTATTCTTCTTCAAGAATCATATTAAACTGAAGCTGCTTAAATATGAATGCAAAGGATAAAGACAAGCTAATAAAACATCGAACATATTTGGTGGATAATGTAAACATTGATGGACTTTTGACCCATCTGCTTACCACAAAGACCATCACCCTAAGAACAAAAGCAACTATTGAAGTAAGCCTTTTTAAAGCCACTATTTTTTTATTTTTTTTATTTATTTTTATATAGTTAAAATTTTAAAAGTTTTTCTGACTAATGTTGTTTTTAATCAACTGTAAGAAATTCACAAAATGAAAGTTATCTTGAATGGCCACTCGTCTAGATCTTTTTGAATTAATGCAGGTGTCCCCCTTGCACTCTATCCTTGGACCTACTTTGTTCCTAATTTTTATCAACAACCTTCCTGATGTCATCAGTTCTCAGTTTGGTATCTATGCTGATGGCATAATCATTTACTCCTGTCTTAATAGTAAGTCTGATTGTGTTGTTGTTTGTTTGTTTGTTTTTTTTTTTTTTCATATATATTTTAAAAAAATTTTATTTATCCCTTATAAAAGTGAAATGATAGCATTGTAGCTGTGGGTGACCCAGTCTACCCTCTTATTTAACGTGTGACTGGGGTGGGGGGAGTAACACATGTACGTCCCTTGCTGGTCATTCATACAAAAAGGAATCCAATAGTCAGAATTTGAACTCAATTTCCTGATTACATTTTCTGTGCCAATAAATTTTTTGCTACTTATACTTTCAAGATTATTATTATTAAACTGAATTTGATCCTCACTGATTACCTAACATAATTGACATTCTATTGCACTTAGTAAATATAGAATGTCTGCCTTAGAGTGATTGTTAATGAGTTATTCATATTTTCAATTTACTTGCCTGGTCAGCAGGACTTATAATATGACTATATCCTCTGCTGAATGGTAAAATCTCCAAAAAAAAAAGGGGCTATCTTCTAGATGGATATTTGCAGACTAAACCTGACCAATGTTTACCTTTTTGATTCTAGTACAAGCTGCATCTATGTCAAACTTTGGCTTGTGAATGATTGGATAAAAATTATATTCAATGATGAATCTAGAATCTGCATTGGCCAAGGTGATGATGACAGAACTTTTTGTCTAGTGTCATTCAGATGAAACTGAAAAAAAATGAGTAATTTTTCCAAGTCGTTCATGATATGGGATTGCATGTTATTTAAAGAACCAAGAGAGATCTCACACATGCATTGATCTCAATCAATGTACATGTTTACATTGAAATTCTGGATAAGTTTTTCATTCCATTGATAGGAAATTGGTTTAGTGATGTTGAAGTCATTTTTCAGGTTCATAATGCATGTTGTCACAGAGTAAAAGAGATTTTAAACTTTTCTTCAGGAAAGGCATCTAAAATTAATGACATGGCCAGTGAAGAGTCCAAATGTAAATCTATTTGAAAATGTGGTGGAAATTTAAAGAAAATGACCCATGAAAAGCTCTATTTACCAAAGATTGACTGACATTTGAGAAATTTGGAAACACTTTCAGAAAGAATATTACTTTAAATTTGTGAAATCCATGCCTAAAGACTGTCATAAAAGTTTGAGGAGGGACAACTAAGTACTAATTTTAATTTTTTTGATAATGAATTTCATATGCATTGCTTGGAAAGAAATTATATCATTATTTTAAATAATTTAATCTAATTTGTTTAAGGTATGTTTTATGAAAGCCAGAATGTTCATTTATTAAATAAAAATGTTTTGTGTCTTATCTGTTATTAGTTTATTTACTGCTAAATAATATATAAAAAAAAAAAAAATAAATGAACATCCTCTAAGTGGGCTAATTCCATAATTTTTGCCAGTCTTACAGAATATTATTTTTAATAAAATCTTACTTATTATAAAATGCAGATTGTGTGTGTGTGTGTGTGTGTGTCTGTACGTTTATATATTGGATCGGATTTCCTACATTTTTCAACCGATTTCAACAAAACTTTACAGGACTGCATAAAATTACCTTTTGGTGGTTCTGACAGTGCCAAAAATTGGAAAAATACAATTGTTTTTGCACAAAATCAGTTTGAAAACACGATTAAGAGGCATTAATGGAAGGGGGACAACTCATATCGAGTTATACTTATTAATATCGAGTTATACTTATTATAAAACCCAGGTTGGTTGTTTGTGTGCGTGTTCGTTTATATATGGGATTGAATTTCCTACATTTTTCAACCGATTTCAACAAAACTTCACTTTTTTTTGGCAGGTAGTGTTTCTTATTGTCTTGCACACTTTTTTCTTTATTTTTACATTCAGAATACTTTAAAAATTCCATTTACAAGACAATTGTTTATAATAAAATTCTATTCAATTGGTAGACTCATAATGATTGAAAACAATGTTTTTGTTTGAGTTTGGGTTTGACCAATTCGTAAAAAAAACTAAAAAAAAACTAAAACTAATTAAGACGTGTCCATCATCCTTAAATAATAATCTTTGTCAATTTTAATTTTCAGTCTTTATGATGGTCGATACTTGATCTATCTCTTACTGTTACATCTGGGCTCTACTGCTAGTTATTAATAAAATTTAATTGAGCAAAGAAAAAGTTTTGGATTTTGCACAAAATTGAGCAAAGAAAAAGTTTTGGATTTGGCAAAAAATATTTCGAAAACAACAAAAACTGTAATTATAATACAATAGAACAAGCAGATGAAAATGACAACAGATCTCAATGGTTGAACCAGCAGATGAAGAGGGCTACGCATGACGGACATGCTACAGTAGGTGCCACTTGAAATTATAACAGTCAGTGGCAGTCTGTTGCAGTTTTTTAACTGGATTCTGCAAGTCTGAGTCCATATGTGTCGCAGAGGAAGGTCATGAAATCATGTGTGTGGGTCACTTGGTAAATTCAGGCCCACCTTAAACACAACTCTTGCAAAGCCAAACGGTGATAGGGAATGGATGATGGGAGCAGGTTTTGGTGAACCTGGAAGCTTCTTGTTCTGAATTTGCACATTGGTGGTGAATGTAGTCATTTACACCCACATCATAAAGGAAGTGATCAGCAAAGAAGAAATTAAATTCTTAGATACACGATAAAGCTGACGATTTAATTGTTTATTTTTTAATAATGTTATTTTTCTGTAATTCTGATTTAATAATTTATAATCATATAGGAAAGTTGTTTTGAAATTAATGCTACCTATTTTACTAGGTTGACTCCTAATGTTAAAGACTGATTGATGTTGGTTTAATGGCATGAGAGGATCTTCTAGTAGTTTTTTTTTTTTTGCTCTCTTAACCCAAAGATTAGAGCAGACATCTTGGAAAATGGGCTGAAGCAAAAAGGGATGAGAGTTTGAGTCCAACCAAGCGCTTGTTCATTATTTATGATCTGTACAGTTTATTAACTGCTATAAAGTGATGGTAAGAGTAGTTGTAATAAAAAGCAACTGATATTAAGATGAAAGAAAAATACTAAAAGAGATCAAATGAGTTGAATTTTAATCTGTGTCTAGCATTCAAAATATTTGTAGAGAAATAGTGGATTTCCCTATTTGATTTTCTAATAACTCTGATCAACGGGCTCCTTTATTTGATTGGTTCCTTATCTTCTCTCAAAACTCTTGTCAAACATTGCAGTTCTGTCCTCTTGCCAATTCAGATCAAGCTGTAGTATCTGTTGATGTTTTTTTGAGTTGTCTATTAGTCAGGAACTTCCTATTCATAAGACTTCTTTCTGCTACCAGTACTGATTGGGATTTATTTCATGACTTTCTTTGAGATGTCCACGTGCTGATATAATGGCTATTGCTAAAAGACTCTATCAAGCTTAAGGTAAAAATGGTGAAGCTTGGATTGTTGCTTTGGATATCTCAAAGGCATTTGAGAGGTGTCCTGACATAGGTGTTAGACTGTACAGGTGTCCTGACATAGGTGTTAGACTGTACAGGTGTCCTGACATAGGTGTTAGACTGTACAGGTGTCCTGACATAGGTGTTAGACTGTACAGGTGTGTTTGTGTTTTAATATATTCTGATCTGTTCTATTTTCTCTTCACTCTAACTGCTCTCAAATTTCATCTTAATCACTTGTTAGCTCGAAAAAGTAAAGAAAAAAAAGACAATGTATCCTCCCGGTCATACTTTCCTCACTGTTTTTATTGTTACGCATCATTCTTTTGTTATTGAATAATACTCTTCATTCTTTTTGTCTATTACTTGTCAATGTTTTATTATTGTCTATTACTCATAATACTTTTTTATTGGCTATTACTCCTGTTGTATAGCCATTTGGTAGGGGTTGGTCTTGGGGCAATGGTTTTGATTCACTCATAATGTTGCCTTCTTCTTTCTCAGCTGTTGATTGCCAGTTGTTGTTTTAGTTCGACAGAAAATGAGAACTTCAACAAAAGGGATTTTAAACTTATCTATTTTATTAAACATGTTGACGTGTACATTTTTTAACTAGCCAGTGGGGTCACTCTATCACCCCCACCTGGAGCAAGTTCTTTGAGACACAAAATAGCCATGTCTACTGTGTATGATATGTAAAACTTAACTCCCCGAAATCACTTTTTATCTCTCTAACATTCCCACATTAGTTTTAACCAATCAAAAACGACTTCCTCTGTTTTTCTGTATCTGACCTCAAAGGTCAAAATGAGAAAGTCAGAGGAAAATGCAATTCTCTAAAAAATTATAGTCTTCTAGACTATTATTTAACACTCCTTGCCTAACCATAAGAAAGATTCATTTATGAATTTTATTTTAACTATTTACTCTAAAATACCCTTTATAATTTTGTGTATGCAAGGCATGCTCTTTACAATTTTTTTCTATTGGGCCTTGGTCACATGACTACTCCAGCATGCACATAAACAAATCCTGAAAAAGAATGTCAATGCCACCTAATTTTTCCATATATGGCCTTAAAGGTCAATATGAGGTCGTCAGAGGAAAATACAATTCTCTAAATAAATAAGTCTGCTCGACTATTGTTTAACACTCCTCAATTCTTTTGTTATTGACTACTACTCCTCAATTCTTTTGTTATTGACTACTACTCCTCAATTCTTTTGTTATTGACTACTACTCCTCAATTCTTTTGTTATTGACTACTACTCCTCAATTCTTTTGTTATTGACTACTACTCCTCAATTCTTTTGTTATTGACTACTACTCCTCAATTCTTTTGTTATTGACTACTACTATCTTTTTTTTTTTCATGTTAAATCTTGTATTTTTTTCCCAAGAGTTCCAAAAAAGACATACTTTTCCTTTTTATAGTTTTTTTAAATTTTTTTTATCACTGCCTGCTTTAGTAATAGTTAACAAGCTATTGGTAATTTAATAAGTTTGAGCTTGTTTCAATGTCTCCTGACTGTGTCTTCATTCTTGGCTAAGCTGTTTAATACAAGGAAGTTGAGGAGCTTATCAATGGGGTTGATCAGAATTTTTCTCAGTATACAATGGCAAGTTTTAATAAAAGGAGCTTGGAAAATTACTTAAATTGTCAAAAAAGTTGGAAATTAATAAATGGTGGTTTTATAAACTCTGGGTAGGAAAATTTTCTCAAAAAAAAAAATCAATCTCTATTAGGTATCAAATAATAAATAGTTACAAAACTAATGTACTTACTATTAAAAACCATCAAACTAGGAATAATTTTACTTCTTTGTGTTGCTTTTCTGTAGAATGCTGGTTCGGTGTATACCCAAATTGAGAAACTTCTTGACTTTTTGACCCGAGGAGGACCAAATGCCTATTATCAATTTTGTGAAGCACTCAAAGAAAATAACCAGGAGTATATTGTAATACATCTTGAGAATAAAACTGCTGATGTGGAATTGAAATTGGTGCATGAAGAAAAGGACACTGATGAATTTATACAGCTAGTGGAAGTTCCTAATCCACAGTTGCCAACTAAAAGATACTATAGCATGTCAAATTTGCATCCCTCAAACAGAAATGGCATAGAAACACGATATGTGTTAAAACATTTTATATCAGTCCCTGAAAATTCCAGTCGACAAAATTTGGATTTCATTCCTACCAAGCTGAGCAAACGTGAGCTTATTGGTAAGTTGAAGCCTTCTATACTATTTATTGCTATTATTCTTATACTCATTGGTTCTTACTCTCTCTGTAACCTGTTATATCTTAGTGGCTGTATTACCTTTCCTGGGCTGAAATGATTAAAAAAATATCTTATAAAGCAATTTTTTTATACATAATATAAAATTTAAGGTCCATGCATTTGTATGTAGTAAATCAATTGGATCGATTTTAAAGTTAAAAAAAATTTGAAATCAGTATGATTATCCCATGAATTAGTATGAATTCTAAATTGGTTGATAACTCCACCCCATAAACATGTACTTACTATGGAAAGCACAGCAGCAACAAGTGAGGTTGTGGTCCTATACTGTTTGATGATGATTGATATATATATATATATATATATATATATATATACAAAACATAGATGATGCTAAAGTAGTGCTGAAAGGATATGTTCTTGGTTGATGACGAAAGTAGGATTTGAACCTGAAAACCTAATTCATACTTAACTGGATGATTGCTTAGAAACATCAGGTACTTTTTGCAACTTTGGATTAAACTTTACTTATGATTGCAAACCAATAGTAAATATATTTCATAATTTTACCATGAAATTATCAGTAGTACAAAATTTCCTGCTTTTTCATCTTAATTTGCTAGAGGATAGAGCTATCTTATTTCTCAAAACATTTGCTACCATAGTTTACTATAGAAGTAATAATGACTAGAAAGTTGACTGTTGAATAGCAATATTTCTTATTTCATTAGGAAAGTGCTTTGCAACATCGATTATTTGTATTTGACTAGTTTTATACCTTCATAATGGCTAAATTGATCACAGTTTAAACATTTTAAGCACGCAATGAATACAATATTTAAAATATAAAACTTGTTCGCAAATATTCATATAAATCTAGTTACCTTATTGCGAATATAAATAGATTAGTATAATTTGAAAAATTCTGATTTGTGCCTTTTGCAAACTGAAAGCCATTTAGACTTAAAAAAACTTCTGATAAAATCTTTTTAAAATTCGTTGTTACTTCCCTTAGATTTAGTTTCGAACTGTCCATTGGAGTGATCACCCTTAAATCATGTTGCAGCAAAAAAAAAAAAAAATTAAAACAAATTATTTTTTCCATTGTTTCCAAGTTTATATTTGTGGTTTTGCCTTAATAACGTCCTTTTTCAAAAGTACTTTACAGTAAAAAATAAATTTATTTTGTGTTCTGAGAGATTTTATTTCTTTGTACTTGAGTAATTTTGACAATAAGTTTTGGAAAATAGAATTTATTATATATTGACATAGATACAACCATCAAAGCAAAAATTATATATTCAAATTTAATTAAAAATTAAAGAAAGTTTTTCTGTTAAGAAAAGTTTAATTTAAAAAACAAATGTCTACTTTGACAGAAAAGTGGCAGGTCCCACTATTTTGCTGAAATATTTCTCAATGTTCTTTACAAGTAGATTTTTATTGTGTATAGAACTGAAGTTAATAAAAATTTTTTTTAATTACACAAGAACATAATAATGACTGTATAACATTTTTTTATTGACTATTAGTATATGGCTCGAGACTTCTATTCTTTTCATCAGCCAAAGATTTACATTGATTCAATTTTCATATTCCAATGCCTTCCTCTTCCTCACTTTCTAAGAATTTTGAATTATTGTTCATTGCATATTTGTATTGTACTGTGGCATTTGAATCTAAAAATTAAATCTGTAAATCTGACTGATGAGATGGATAGAAGTCATTAAAACATGTATCAAGATTCAATCAAAAATGTGTTATCTACAATTTTATGGTACATTGTATGGTACATTCATTTTTGATATCATAATGACCTTGTGTAGATGTTTGTAAAAACTCAAATGATATTAAAGACATTTTTAATGCAGCAATCATCTATTTTTTAATATTTTTTTTTTACATTTTAGTTAGTGAATATTGCCTTTTATTTCTTATCTTTTAATAAATTGTTTCTTCTCTATATTTTCCAGATACTTATAACCCCGGTGATATATCCAGTAAGTAAGCAAACTTATTTGTATCTGTCTATATTTCTGAGATACAGTATTGTAATTATTTACACCATTTGCATTAAATGGTTACTGAGACATTAGATTTATAACTCCCAAAAATTCATACACCAATGTCCTATTTTATATTCTGTTTATTTTAATTTTAAAATTACACACACACACACTACAGTTTAAAGGTTTGAGGCTACCCTCTGGTAATTTTTTACATTGGCCCAAAAGTAGTTGTTTTGTACTTTAAGTAAGAGAAAATTATTATACATGTTTAAAAAAGTGAGAGATTTTTTTTTTTTGTTTTTTTTTTTTTATTAGAAATTTTATTATGATTAAATTTTGCTCTTGTCAATTTTTGGCATTTGCTACAAAAGTTTCTCAAAGTATAAGTTTGATAATTGATTCCATTCTTTTTCCAATGACTCTAAGGGCTTCTTTTTTTTTTTTTTTCACTCTTCTTTCAAGTTCATGCTAATTCTGGGGGTGGCTTCAAACTTTTGAACTGAAGTGTGTGTAAATTAATAAATTCCTATAAATAAACAATTTAATATAATAGGGTTTAATTCTTTTAGTTTCAATTCTTGAGAGAAAAGAGAATGCTAACTCCAGTTTCATATGTTTGGGTTTTATTAAAATTCTAAAAATAGCTTGTTTTAAAAAATTGCTTATGAAGTATACAGTAATAGTGATGTTAAGATACCCCCCCCCCCAAATAAAATCAGTGTTTTGCAGTGTGTGTGTGTGTGTGTATATATATATATATATATATATATATATATATATATATACACATATATATATATATATGTGTACACACGCACTGCAATTTAAAGTTTCATTGTTCTGCCAACTAACACACGTATATATGGTTGCTAATATCTAGTTATTTGATTTATCCACATTAATACACACACATATATATAATGTCTGTTTAGAAAGCATCCAATTTGAACGTATCAAAAACCAGTTGTGCAGTCTTGATGTAATAATTGATAATCAGAAGGGACCTTACTGTGCATGCATGAACAGTAAGTTTCAATAACAAGACTGGTTAATTCCTTATAATGATTACACATATAATTAATACAGCAAATCAGTGTTAGTAGGTAAGATGAATGAAATAATAATAATCAAAGTTGTATTTTAACTAAAACTACATTTGAACCTGGTATAAATAAACAATGCATTGGCTTCTTTTATTGTTGCCCACTGACATTATCACTACTCTATCACTTTCCTATTTAATTAGTCTTATCTGTATTAAGATTAAAAAAGTAAACATTCCTGGCAGTAGCTTAAAAACAGAAAAATAGAAATTCCTGGTGAAACACTGAATCTTTTGCAATTTTTTGATGTAAAATTGGTTTTAGCAAGTTCTCAAAATATATGTTGCGTATTGAAAATCGGGCAGAAATGGATTGTCAGTGATCAGGAATTAATATAAATGTTATTAATGGAATAAGGTTATTTTGTGTATAATTTAATCAGTGGTAATTGTTATGGAATATTTTTCTATTATTGATACCATAATCTTTACTTGAAAAATTATTTTAATGTTAAGATATTTATCATATCAAATATGTTAATATTTGACATTTTCTAAGTGAATTATTATTTACTATAGTTTCTTGCATGGAAATGAATGTAATTTGGCTAAATGACAAAATGTACCCTGTTAGGGGTAGTAATTTTGCTCCACCTAGAAATAAGCTTTTATTAAAATTACTGAATCTATCATGAGATTGTTGTTTCCATTTTTGTAGGTTCCAAGAAGCAGAGGTTCATGGACGATTCTAACTTACAAGATGACTACAATTCTCACAGTAAAATAAGTGAAATAATAGTCACCAAAGTTAAACGTAAATTTTACTTTGATCACTACAAAAAGGTAAGTTTCTGTTTTAGCTGACAAATTTGGACTATGATATTGGACTGTTGATCACAAAAATATTTTAGTAAAGTTTAACATTTGTACCAGCAAAAAAAAAACAAAAAACGGTTTGTCAAAAACACGTTTTTTTGGGTTTTTTTTTTATCTTGACATCACTATTACTGTATACTTCATAAGCAATTTTTTAAAACAAGCTATTTTTAGAATTTTAATAAAACCAAAACATGAAACTGGAGTTAGCATTCGCTTTTCTCTCAAGAATTGACACAAAAAGAATTAAACCCTATTATATTAAATTGTTTATTTATAGGAATTTATTAATTTACACACACTTCAGTTCAAAAGTTTGAAGCCACCCCCAGAATTAGCATGAACTTGAAAGAAGAGTGAAAAAAAAAAAAAAAAAAAAAAAAAGCCCTTAGAGTCATTGGAAAAAGAATGGAATCAATTATCAAACTTATACTTTGAGAAACTTTTGTAGCAAATGCCAAAAATTTAATTTGTGATGCAGTAATCAAGGCCAAAGGAGGATATTTTGACAAGAGCAAAATTTAATCATAATAAAATTTCTAATAAAAAAAAAACAAAAAAAAAAATCTCTCACTTTTTTAAACATGTATAATAATTTTTGTTTATTTATAGGAATTTATTAATTTAATTATTAATTTATTATTATTTAATTATTATTTATTTATTTGTTGTAGCATACCTATGGACGATAATGGGTATGTCCCCATTCACATAAATACAGTAATAAATACTGTATGCAGGTATGCAGTTGGAGATTTGTCTCCGGCAGTTGGTGGATATCCTGCAGTTGGAGATTCATAGTGGAATTCACTTGACTCACTTCTAGCAGTTGACTACTTCTTCTCTATGTGCCACTGGTGAATCTTGTATGTGTTGTTCTTGTCCTAAGTATTATCGTCCATTACCAACCTTCGTGTGATTATTCTATTCAGTAACCTTCCCTAGGTTACATTATTATTTATTGACAGTTTATTTATAAGAATTTAATATTTACAAGTTTATAAAAAAATAAGTCAACCAACTAAAAAGTAATATTTATTATTTACCATATTATAAAGAAATAACCGAAAACATCTTTTTATTCATAAATTTATAAAAATGTCTTTGAATAAGACAGCAAAAAAAATTAAATAAACACACAGCTATGAGTAACTAATTACAAATTTTAAAAAAATGCATTTTCCAAGCATATATTCACTAAGATAAGTTTGTCCTGGATTTATACTTTTTTTTTTTTTTCTCAAGAACTGACAACAAAAATGTTGAACACTATCTATATGAATAGTGTTTAATACTTCTGTCAAATCTCAAGAAAAGGAGAATGCATAAATCCAGTTTCATAAGTTTGGGTTTTTTTATTAAAATTCTAAACAGAGCTTCTTAAAATAATAAAAATCACCAATGGAGTATGCAGTAATGTCAGTGTCAACTAAAAAACTGTCTTTTTGACACACTGATGTTTTATATGTTTTTAGGTATGGATGTTAAACTTTGCCAATATTTTCTTAAGTGACTGAAGAAACTGGCAGATTTTGTCAAGGGTTTTTGCTTTGGAGAAAAAGTGTGAAATACCATTCTCTATTTACACTATTTATATGCAGACTATTGTCCTTTGTTACTACAAGGTTTCAGCCATCATGCTCTCCTACCTTCATCTGGTGTATGTTGATCTGGGTAACCTACAGGAAATTCACATGAGACAATAGTTTAGTGGATTAAAGCATTGGTTTATGAATTTCCTTTCGCCTTTATGTTAAACATAAAAAAACGTCTTTAATAAATAAATTGTCGGACTTTGTCCATTTCTTAATATATGACGTCATTTGTTTACATTTGATACGCCAGAGCAGTTATGAATGTACGAGATTCATGGAAGATTGAAGTTTATAAGCAGTAAATTCGACCTTGTCTACCGAACGCTTCTTTGTGGCCGATCGGTAAGGCACGTCAGTGTAAATGACGGTTCCGTATAGGATGCAGGTTCGAATCCTGTCAAAGAACGAATATTTTCTATGAAAATTTCTCGGACATTCAGGCCGGTAAATGTTATTTAATACTGTTTATTATAAACAGAGCATTTACTTAAATACTTGTATCTATAAAAAAAAAAAAAGAACGTTAAACATAAAAAAAAAATGTCTTTAATAAATAAATTGTTGGACTTTGTCCATTTCTTAATATATATATATATATATATATATATATATATATATACACACACACGGTTCTTGACCTAAGATAATTTTATACTAAAGGTTCACTGTTTGTGGCAGACAATGATAGTAACATGTGTTCTTCATTTGTTCCGTTGTCTACTTTAAGAAAATGAAAAGAAAAGTATGATTTATGAATCTCTTGAACAATTCCGTGTAGCACTGCACAAAATGTCAGACCACTTGTATTGGGAAAGGTCAGCCTCCTTTAGGCCCTAGCGTAATACTGACCATGCTAACTGACCATTATAGATTTTTGGAGATCACTGGTATATTCACAAAGGTCATTGTGATCATTTATCATTTTCTATCTCCTGTGTCCAAGGATGTTATATGCTCTCTGAAAAATCTAGCTGGGATTATTTATATTTACTGATACCCTTGGGAAAGGCATGAATCTACTTCTCCCTGCCTCCTCTCCTATTACAAGATGCACTTGTTTACTATGATCAGTGAGCATTTCTGCTATCTATTCTACCAAAACTATTTTATTTATGCCTTACAAAATCTAAATAAAGTATTAAGAAATAGAAAAAAAATTTGTTAAAAAGAAAGAAAAGAATACTGAACTGTTATGTAATATCAGTCTTCACATATGGCAATGAATGCTGGACAATCTCCTCACAGATGAAGAAAAGACTTTAGGTAACCTGGATGTTGTGCTACAGAAGGATGCTGAGAATACCATGGACTGAACATGTGAGTGATAAGAAAGTTTTAAGGAAAATTGAAACAACAGGGATATTTATACTTTGTCAGAAAGAGACAATAACAGTAGGGGAAGGCGAGCAATAACTGAGCAGTACTAAATAAAAACTAGATAATGTATCCCTAGACATGGACAGTGGAACAAGAACAATCTACCCCCATAGATTAAATAAAGGGTCCAGTTTGAAATTCCCTGTTGGCCACCCAGATTGACAAAACCTGATGATGGCAAGAGAACACAATAACCGAAATGTTGTAATAGCAACAATGAAGATGAGGATATTTAAGTACTGTAATTAACCCATAAAAGGTTGATAAGCCATAAAAAATCAAATCAATCAATGCTTTATCCTTTCCTATCTTCATTGCCCATCCAAATTTGTATCTCAATTTTATGCGAACATTCTTTAGTTTGCAAAAAAGGAATAAAAAATACATATATATTTTCTAGAGTGTCCTCTTTTTTAGTTCTGTCTCTCTACAAAGAATTTTAATGTATCGCAATTTAAAGATCTTTTCATTCATATCTGTTTTACATCTTTAGTTCATTCTTTTGATGTATGGCCAGAAAACTTGTCTCTATCTTTCTTTCATCTCCTTCTCTCCCCATATGTGTGTGTGTGTGTGTGTGTGTGCGTATATACACACACACTAAAGATGAAAATATTTTGTTCTTTACAACCCAGGTTTCAACTGTGAGGTCTCATCAGGCAGTTAGGCAAATTATGTCCTTCCACACACCCCAATTTTTTCTATTTAAACATATTATGCTCCTCCCTCTTCAATGCTGCCATATCGTCTTTCTTTTTTTTGTCAAATATTCCCTTGTCGAGGAATTCCTTGATAATCTGCTCTCAACTCCTCTTGGGATGTGCTTAATTACATGCGCTGGGTGATTGAACTTTGAATTTACATATTTTAACGCATTGTTAGATTTTGCATTTTTTGCATGATCCGGACTGTTATCCTCATCTTCATATTGCCATATTCACAATGTTTTGGCCGTTGTACATTCCGTCCTTCTTCAGGTGATTGGAATTTCGAACTGAACTCTTTATTACATCCACCAGGGGTAGATTGTTCTAGCTCCACATGCCATGCCTCTTCCAGATATCTCAGTTATTTCCCTTTGACTCAACTCTCCAAGTCTTGGTTAACCACTGCCATGGCCTGGTATTGAACTCACAACTCTTTGGATCTAGTCTGGATCTAACCAACGTCTTTATCATATTGGGCCATGTGTCCATAAGACATCCGGCGGCACATAGTAGTCAACTGCCCATTTTGGCCGTGATGTCTTTAGTGCCCTTATTGATCTTTTCTACATAAGAAACGGGTGCTTTTTTATAAAATTTGGTAACTTCAGTATCTGTCTATATTTCTGAGGTTCGGTTCGAAATTTCAATCACCTGAAGAAGGCCAGAGCGTATAACAGCCGAAACATTGTGAATATGGCAATGGAGATGAGGATAATAGGCCAAGTAGTGTTAGGTTTTCTATATGGAGGAAACTGTACTTGCCAATAAATTAAATATCTAAATATTGAACAATTTTCATGTTCATTTCCACAGTGATTTCAAAATTTAAATCCTTAAAGAGCTTTTTTTCTAATGACAGTGTTAGCTCTTTTATTATCTGGCACCACGATTAGCCCATTGTCTCTGTAAATACAAAATATATATTAATCATTTCAACTCAAGGGAGGCAATAATGCCACTAAGATGCAAGTGGTTATTGGGAGTGAAAGAAAATCAGAAAACTTTAGGAGAAAGAACCAGAAACACAATTCTAATCAGGAAATTCATGCGTGTGACCATATCATGTTGAAACACTGGTTCTCATATGATCATTAAAGTTGAGCAAGATATCACAATGTGAGATATTTAATGACAAAAGTGATAAAGATATAAACAAAGAGAAAACAAAACTAAATGAAATTGGTTAGGCTATATACCCCAAAACATTTAAAAAATGAAATAATTTAAAAATTTTCAGCATCCCCTCTTCTTTATGCACATGTGTAGTTGCATTAATGTAAACATCACTTTATTTCAATGAAGTCTGAAAGGATGAAACATTGCATGAAAACTTTTTCTACTTTGTCACAGATTTCCCTAAGATTATGGAATATACAGCTATAATACTTTTTCCTTTTTTTTTTTTCTTTCTTCAGGCATATGTGATGAACTCTATACCTCGTGGGCAAGCATTGATAATTAACATCAGTCAAATTGATGGGATGAAGCCTCGTAACGGAAGTGATATTGATACTTTAAACCTCCGTGCCTTGCTACAACAGCTTCATTTTGAAGTGACTGTTTATGATGGGGAGAAAATGACAGCTATGGTCAGTTTTGCTTTTTTTTCTTTTCTTTCTCACCTGTCGTTTTTTTAAATTATGTTTTAACAGATAAAGTCTCCATAAACCTGTCAACACTTTATCTGTGCTTGTTAAGTGATTGACAAGTGATGAAAAGAATATAAATCACCACTACTGTTTCAAAAAATTATATTTTAATTTTATGTTTGGGAGACTTAAAACTGAGAATTAACTTTTGTTTACAAATGTGTCAAAAATGGCCGAGTTTAATGATTTTTTACTGAAAGTGATCAAAATGTTGAGATTCCAATCAGTATAATTTCTATTTGAGAGACACCAGAGTATTTTGCTTATTGGAGATAGTAAATTTAATCATTTAGCTTTCAATTAAAGCTAAAAAGAAAGCTTCAAGAATGCTTTTTCATTTTTAAAAATTCATTTTAAACATTATGTATTGAAAATTAGTGGAAGTATCTAAATTACGGTGACGAAATATATCATTAAAAATTTTATTTGATAAATATAACTACACTTGGGCACTGGTATATGAACAGTTCACTAAACAAATAGTTACTTATAAAATTAAATTTGCTTAAAGAGCTGAAATTTGGACAACAAACTGCAACAAGACTAGACATACATATAAGCAGCTGGGAACATCTTCAGTGCCAACTCTATCGAGCAGACCATGAACTTTCATTTATCATGAGGAATAGCTCTACTCTTAATGAGTTTCCTTTCCTTGAACATCTATTGGGACTCAAATGGGACTCATATATCTGGTCTGTTGTTAGAGATTCTAGGAAAATGGTTGGTTCTTTATAGCACTCTAGTAAGTATGTGACTATGCTATCTTTACAATATCCAGATCAGATCAAATAATGGAGTAATCCTGCCATATGTGGGCTTCAGCTTCCCATTCCTCATTTGCCTGTCTTGATAGTCCAAAAACATCTACATGACCTTGTGGGTGATGAATTATTTTCCATTCTACAATCCCTTTCCCACAGATGAAAAGTTGTATGCCTCTTGCTGCTCTATCATTATTTCTATGGCATGTGTTCTGATGAGCTACGTTCCTTGGTTCCACCAACCCTTACCTTTTGCAACTTAGACCTACCATGCCACTGCCATGTACACAAGTGAGAATCATTCCCTTTTGTATTCCATTACTCTAGGAGTTCCACTTGGACAACTTCCTCCCAAGAACTACTGCTTTCCTGGCAGGATTTTTTCCCCAATCACTGCAATCTTGACCACTTCATAACCCCATGAACTTCTGTCTTTTTTTTTCTTATGCTCATAGAACACTACACAGTAAATCCCCACCTTGAGTGGTTCTTGGGCCTTGTATTGGGTGAACATTAGTATTAAAAAAGATTGTGTTGTGTGCTGTGAACTTAGCTTGCAAATGTTTATATTTTATATTGTAAATATTTTTATTAAAATCCTGAACATGGATCAACAAAAATGAGTGAGAAAAATCAATTAGCATGGAAATTAAGGAAATAATTTCTAAACATGAAAGTCAAACAAGTGTTAGCAAACCTAGTGTGGAAGGGTAATGATGGGATTAACTGTTTTTATACAGGAAACTTTCGGTATTCATTGACCGAATAGTTAGCTTTACTGTTGGTTGAAATTTATAAAAATCTTTTCTTTAAAACAGATTTTCAGGAAAAAAATTTCTCAAGTCCACTGTTATTGCTCTTTCTAGTATTGATGGGAATTTCCTTCCAAACCTTTTTCTTAAGTTAGTGGGGAAAGTTAAAATCTTGCTTATATTATTTTGCCTTTCAATTACATGTGCTATCCATTTTAGTTGTTGCTACTGTTGGAAATCTTCAAGTGATGTGATTATTGTTAAATATGAATTAAAAAGTGTTCAGGTGGCTAAGGGGTATAATTAAACTTAGTAAATCATGTAACAATTTTATTAAAGATATAGAAAATTTACTTTTGGTGTGAAATAAAGGAAAAGGAATTGCCATAGGTACAATATAGTTGAATCAATAATTTATGCAAAAACAGTTTGAGGACTTCAATGAAAATGAAGGAATTTCTTGCTTCAATTCATTTCTGTATTTATTTTGTTCTTTTTTCATATGCACATAATGGCTAGCTGCTTGTATCCGAATGTTCTAACAATTCGACTGTGTAACACAGTGGTTATTTGCAAGGAAAGTAAGATTGGTGTACCTAGGTTCAAATTCCAGGGAATCCATATCTTCTCCCCCAACTAAGGGTTAACAGAAGAACAAACTGGACTCTTTAGCATAAAACAAAGAACAATTCTAGAGATGCATAGTTTTTACTTGAAAAGGGCAAAATCCAATTTTGGGTCTGAAAAGCCATTGACTGAAGAACACTAGTTCCAGAGCACGGACATTTCTTTTTGACATTTGGAACACTATTGAGGAGCTGGTGAGAACTTTCTAGAGCATAAGATTATGGGTGATATGACCGAAATGCATCATATTGCCTGAGAGATGAAGGTTGATTCCATAACCAGGAAGGATTCATTCCCCCCGATTCTAAATTCCACAGCCAATGAAGAAAATGATGGCAACTGTGACTAGGGATGCAAAAGTTGTGCTACTCTTTAATTTTCTTATGATGTAATCAAACAGTCAACACAAAGGACAATAATCCAACTTTGAATCCAAAAATCAATTGACTGAAGAACACAACTTTCATTTAGTTTCAGCTTTTGGAACAGTATAAGAGAAGTGATGAGACCCGAATGTATCATGTTACTCCAGAGACAAAGGTCAATCTCCTGACTGGGAAACATACATTGTTACTGACCATCAAAAATTAACAGTTCAGCAGTTGGCAAAGAAATTGATGCCAACTATGTTTTGTAAAGCAAAAGGTGTGTTGCTCAGATTTTAAACCACATAATCAGTTCACAAAGAGAATACAAGATTTGCGAAATTAGGAAGGAGGACAAAGCCATATGTACTTTATTTACAGATAAATAGCTGGAGTGAAAACTGTCCAAGATGTTGCACACATGACAACAAAGAAAATTAGTCTAACTGTAAATATAAAATTCTCACCTCGGAAAGTCAGACAGTAAAAAAAGACATTGTTTTATGAAAAATACGAAATGAAATCAATGATAGATGCCTGAACCAATCACTTTCTGAGGAGTCACTTTGATGATAGTTGAAATAAACCCTCAAAAATTATAGGCAAAAAACCAAGAATCATAGTATAACCAACTGGAAGACTTGTTGTTCTGTGAAAGAGATCTTACTATTGGATTACTTCACAAACATCTTTTGAATGCAAGATGCCGAGAAAAATTAAACTCCTGTAATCTTATTTAATTTCTGACTAGTATTTTTCTTCCATTTTAATTTCAATTGCTTTTTGTTGAAACTATGCAGGCCATCTCTCTATAGCTGATAATAAAATAAATAATGAATAAGCTCTTTGTGAGATCCAAACTCAGCAGAACCTTTTTTCCAAGATGGCTGCTCTACCACTTGAACTATGAGTGATGGTAATAATTTTTTGGCCACACTTCCAACTTGCAAATGGAACGCTTTAGTCTTATATAAAATAATAGTTCTTTATATGACTAATAAAGGAAGGACTTATTGATTTGACCATCATATTAATTAATATTCAACACATTTTCTTTATGTGCAACGTTTATTTGCCTGTGTATTTTTACCTCTTGAATCCTTTTGTATTTTTGCCTAGTATTTTTCTTAAGTTCAGTTGCTTTTTATTGCATCTACTCTGATAATCACACTGTAAAATGGCATTTGTAGCCAACTGTCAATTACAAGTGCAACATCCTCAATTCTGTAGAATGGAAGAGAAGTTAAGGCCACAAAAGACACCTTCAACAAAATGAGATTGCCAAGTACCTGCTTATGATCTATCAAGAAGGAAACTTAAAAAGTGAGCAGATGATCTCTGAAATAAGTGTGTGTTTTTATTTAGATGGGAAGTCCAGTATTCATAACGATTATATTATGTGTTTCTCTGACAATGTCAGTTGGCTAAACTACATATACCAAACTAATGTAATAGACATGTCATGCCAACCCTACACTGCAGAAAACCTTCAGGAAATTGCAATGTCTTCAATTAGGAACTTGCAGGAAGATTTTAGTGCAACAACAGATATTGGTCCCTGATTACTGTCGGTGTTTGCCAGAGTTGTATAGGTGTCCACAATTTACTTAACTTCATCATTGACCACCTTATAGATGTAGGACCATTTCCCTGGTGTTTAGCTTGGAGACTATGACCTGACCTAGCTGGAATGCACAACTCTGTTCTGCTGCTCACTGGTCAGCTTAGAGGAGGCACTCCATATGTTCAACAAAGAGGCAACAAGGCTTGGGCTGTCCATCAAATGGTCAAAGACCAAGATGATCCACTGCCCATCATCATTGGTAGTGACTACATCAAGTCTGCCACATCTTTTGTATACTTGGGTTCAGAAGTTTCCAATATCGGCAACCTTCTCACAGAGATCAACAGAAAACATGAGTTGGCTGCATGTGTCATAGCAGTGTCTCGATATGTCTCGGTGTACCAGTCTATGAATTTACAACACTGCTGTCTTCTCTATGCTACTATACGGCACTAAGATATGGCTTCTCAGAAAGACCCCTACTTGCTGCATCCATGGTTTTGAGTCCTGCAACCTTAAGACCATTGAACGAGTGCACTGGTCTGATCTTGTATCCAATAAGCAGCTCCACCAGAAGATCAGCTATCCAAGCATCCTCCACACTATTGCTAAGTGCTACATTTCCTGCATCAACCTGATAACCACTCTACCACAATTGCCTACCAGTTTGACCCACCATCTGCAAAATAGACAACCTCAAGGCAGACCATGCAGCCACTGGAAGGCTGTTAGCAGGTTAATCTATTACAGGAGGGACAAGGTGGCTCTCATGGACTTAACATTTTCATGGCATGAGATTTAGCAACAGAAAAGATAATGTATCCAATGTCAGTAGGATGATAAAATTATTACAAGAAAATAAATTGGAAGTGTTGAGTAATGGATATTCAGCATATATTTTAAATTTGTTGGTTGTTGACTTACAAGTTTCTCATGTGAGAGTGTGTGATATACATTGTGAAATACCTTAGTATGGTATTGTCAATGTCCTGCCATGCCTCAGAGAACTTGAAGGGCACTATGTAAGATTGCCTGAAGATTTGCATAAACAACTGGTCAACTCTCTTTCAAATTTTTAAAGAAACAAAATAGATTTTGAAGAAACAATGTGTTTAATCTCATAATGAAGCAATTTACAGAGGAACTACTTTCTCAACTCTAGCCAATAGCTAAAGACCTGAACAGTAACAGTAATGGTAATATTAGCCATTTCTTTTTTAAGGAAAACATTTGGAATTCATTGACTGAGCAACCAGTACTACTGTTGTTGTTGAAATTTCTAAAATCTTTCATTTAAAACAATTTTCCAGGAAAACAGATTTCTCAAGTCCAGTAGCTGTTATTACTCTTTCCTGTATTGATGGGGGTTTCCTTCCTAACCTTTTGTTTGAAGCAATGTGGAATTATGTTATTATTCTTCCTCAAAGTTCCATGTGATATCCATTTTGGTTGTTGTTGAAATTACTCAAGTTATATGGTTTCTGTTATTTGGTACAGTGCTTTCTGATTCTGTAGCACTAGTTCACAAGGTTTGAAGAAGTGTGGTCTTTGCCAAGATCTATAAACTTCACTCACTCAAATCCATGGATAAAATACAGAATGACGCATGCACCATTGCTGAAGCAGTTTATATTTGGAAAGGATTAAGTAATAATTTTGACAAAAACCAAAAAAAAATCTACCCCCTCCCAAAAAAGATGACAAACAGTGGGGGGGAAGAGTGGGAAAAGTATATTGCAAAAGCCTTCTATCTTGCTGTAATGTAATCAGTTGAGGGGATTCCATGTATGGTAAAATGGGAAGTAATATTTATAAATGATGCAATGTTAAATATTAATTCTTATTATTTTCTTATACTCTCTCTTTAATAATATGTTTTCTCATAATCTCTAACATTAATTAACCTCTTGCTTCCTTGTGTCTTTATTGCCTTGCTTGGAGTAAAATGATAAAAAAATAATTTTCATGGTAATTGTTCACTATTTACGCCATATTTATTACACTGTTTCGGCCTTTCAGTATCTGTCTATATTTATGAGATGAGGTATTATGTACACTATTTACATTATTCAGACTATTCCAACCACCTGAAGAAGGCCAGAGCATACAACGGCCAAAACGTTGTAATAAATATGGCGACAAAGATGAGGACAATAGTCCGAATAATGTAAATAGTGTACATAATACCTCATCTCAGAAATATAGACAGATAATGGTAATTGTTCTAATGAACTTTCCTTTATGGTACCTAGATTTTATGAATTTAAGCATACTATGAGATTGTCGGTAAGGCCTCATAATTTAACAGATGAAAATCCTGACTTACCAGTCTCTGAATATGTAAATTGCTATATATATATATATATATATATATATATATATATATTGGTAATTTCCGTGAGTCTATGCGTAATTTCCTCCAGTATCTTTTATTTTATCTATGATAAACTTATATATAGGTTAACTGTGAAGCTAGACAGTTTTTCTTGCCAGAACCTATCTTATACATTTATAAGTCTACCATTCATCTGTGCATTGAATATTGCTGCTATATTTTGTCTGTCCCTTGTACTATATGTTTAGAGATACTTGATAAAATACAAAGAAGAAAGTGCAATGTTATTGGTCCTGACCTGGCATCTCAGCATCAGCCATTTTTTTCCTTCCATTGTAATATAGCTTCCCTGTGCCTTTGCTATAAATACTTTCATGGTAATTGTTCTAATAAACTTTCTACTATGGTACCTAGTGTTTATGAACTTAACTGCAGTACTATATTGGTGGCAAGGTGTCATCATTTTACAATTGAAATGACTAAATGTAACCATAGATTCTATGCTAACAGTTTCTTCTATCACACTTCTCGCTTGTGGAACTCTCTTCTGGCTTCTTGCTTCCCTGCCAACTTTGATCTTTAAAAATTTAAATGCAATGTCAATCGTTATCTTCTGTCTTCTTAATTCCTGTTCTTTTATTGTCCTTTCTCCTTAATTTTTTTTTCTTATATTCTCTTACACTCAGTAACCCCTCACGTCTTAGTGGCTTTATTGCCTTGCTTTGGCTACTTGTCTACATCACTATGCCTAGTAGTTATAAGAAAAACTTAATTTCATCCTGCAACATATTGAGTCCTCAAATAACCACTAATTTTTTTTGTGTTTTCTTTTTGCAGAATATAGATCGCAAAGTTTATGAATTTGCTCATTTAGAGGAACACAAATCTGCAAATGCTGCTGTAGTCTGTTTGTTAAGCCATGGAGATGATGGTCACATATTTGGATCGGATGGTCAACAACTAGAACTTAATAAGATCTTCACTTATTTTGACAATGCTAACTGTCCCAGCTTGCAAGACAAACCCAAAATTTTTATCATTCAAGCATGTCGAGGAGGTAAGCAATTGATGTAGGATTTTTGTTTTCATTTTAATGCCATTGCACCAAATCTGTTCTTCTTTTCATGTTTTGAATTTTGGTAATCATAATTCTCCAGATATCCCTTTTCTTTATTATTATCATCTGTGAATTGCCATGGTTTCTTGAGGAGTGGTTTCCCTGTCCTTATCTTAGACTGACGACCATTCAAGACTTGAGAATCCAGTTTAACCTGATATTTAACCTGAGACTAGGAGGAGAAGAAATGGTTTCATGCCTTTCCCAAAGGCTTTAGTGTGAAAGAAAATGCAACAGACTAAGCTGGAATCTGAACTCAGCTTGCCAATTCAACTTTCCATGCCAGTAACTGTCGTGTTAGCCAAAAGGTTTTATCAATCACTAAAAATATAACTTTATTGTTGGCATTGGCCCTCTTTAATTGGTACACTTGTCAATCTTTCCTCTCAGTTACTTGTATATTTAAGTGATCTTATAGTTTAACATACCAAAAAACAATCAAATTTAGTAAAAATTTATTTATTTTTTATGATATAAATTAAAAAAAATTACTGCTTTCTGTAATTTTATTAATACGATTTTGAAAATAAAACCATACTAATTTTTATTTATAGGATTTAAAAAATAGACATACCAATACCACCTTTCAAAACTAGAAAAAAATATGTACTTTCTTCTATATATTAAAATACCTATGTACCTACCTATCCCATCAACCACAATTGTGAATGCCATAATCCTAGTAGGTGCCTCAGCAAGGCAACATTGTTTTGAATTCAGAGTTGTCCTTCTTTTAGGTTGGTTGTCAGCTACAAGAAGAGAGTTCAGTCTGCCTTTCTATTTAACCCTTAGGTGAGAAGAGATGCATTCATGCCTTTTATGAGGAATATTTGTGTGAAAGTGAATGAAACAAATTCAACTGGAATTTGAACTCGGCTCGCTGATTACACATTCTGAGCTGCTAATCATTCACTGCTTGCATAAAAAAAAAAAAGATTAGAGTAAAATAAATCAATTTCTGATGGGATTACTTTGATTTATTCTATTTTATTTTTTTTTTTTTTTTGAGTTAATATCTGCTTAGTATTTTTATTGTAACCAATAGCCCAGCCTCTACCTCTCACAAGCATGAAAATTTGGGATGCTAAACTATGAAATCACTGTTTATTTTAAAAATCATTTTGGTTGACCTTTATTCCACTGATGTTTGTGTAGTAAGCAAAATGGGTAATATTTTAAAAGTAGGATGGTCATTACACAGGAACAGAACCATTCTCTTGGCTTGTATGTTCTTTTGTTCCATTACGATATAACAATTGGTGGATTTTTTTTTTTTTTGATTGTAGAAGTTGCCAGAAACATGGTAGTTTATCATTGATCTGCCTTAGTGTTCCCTCCTGGTTTGAAATCAAAGTTGTCTATTTCCTAGACTGGTTACCAATCAAGGTTAGAGAACCCTGTCTGTCGTATTTTCCAATAGCTAAGCTGGGAAGAAAATTCATAATTTCCCAAGGGCATTAGTGTGAAGTGAATGCAAGCAATCGTGACTAAAATTTGATTTTGGTTCACTGATTCTATTTGACTTTCCAATAACTATTATTTTTTTTAGCATTTCACCCCAAGCAAGACAATAAAGCCACTAAGACACAGGGAGGTGGGGAGTACTGAGTGTTAGAGAATATGAGAAAAATATATGATTAAGGAATTAAGGAGAGAAAATGATAAAAGAACAAATATTAAGAAGACAGAAAATAACAACATTTCATTTAAATTTTTGAAGATCAAAGTTGACTGGAAAGTAAGAATCCAGAAGAGTCCCACAAGCAAGAAGTGAGAGAGAAGAAACTATTAGCATAGAACTTACTGTTACATCTAGTCATTTCAACTGCAAAATGATGAGACCTAGCTGCCAATCTAGTATTGTGCTTAAATTCATTAAAGTCAAGATACCATAGAGGATAGTAATATTTATTTTGAAAAATACCAAAATGTAGCACAAGGCTAGGGGGATAGGGAAAGGCTGGTCTTCAATATGTCTTGTCTTAAACTTAACTACCCATGATTTCTGACCCAAATATACCACAGTATTCCTTAAAACAAAACAACACATTCTTGTCATTCTTACTACAGCCACCATAATACCTCAAAGTCTCTATGAAGTCCTAACTAGTTTCCATATGTAAATTTGTCTCTGTGAAGTGGAGAATAAAAATAACAACTGTAGAGGAAAGTTCATCAGAACAATTATGATGAAAGTATTTATGGAAAAAGCACAGGGGAAAGTGATTGAAGCCAAAATGCCAGGCCAGGACCAATAACATTGCAGATTCTTCTTTGGATTTTATCAAGAATCTCTAAATATAAAGCAGGAGCACCAGGTCAGATGTGGCAACAATATTCAAAGGAAAGATGAATGGTAGTCTTATAAATATGTAAAATAGGTTCTGGTGAGAAAAATTGTCTTGCACGACACAGTGAACCAACATTCCTAGTTGCAGACTTAACCATGGATTCAATATAATAATGTGTATATAAAAATTAAAAAAGTGCCCCCCACCACCAAATAACTAGAAATTCCAAAAGGAAAATAAAATAAGACAAAAAAATAAAAATATTTAAATTTTTTAAAAATGTTGTTTTGGTGTAAGCAATCAAGTATCCCACTCCCAATAATCCTCATAGAAAAGAAATTGGAAAACAACCCACCAGAGGGTTGTGTGGGCCTTGCTGATGTACCACCATGACACTCCAGTGGGTCATGTAGAAGCCAATGAGAAAAGAAATTGAAAAAAAATCTGGTTCTAGTGTATCATGATCTCATAAGCAATCAATCATAGCATCCCACCCCAATAATCCTCATAGAAAAGAAATTGGAAAACAACCCACCAGAGGGTTGTGGGGGCCACCATGACTGATGTACCACCATGACACTCCAGTGGGTCAATGTAAAGCCAATGTAGAAAAGAAAAAAACCCACCAGAGGGTTGTGTGGGGCTTTTGCTGATGTACCACCATGACACCCAGTGGGTCATGTATGTAAAAAAAAATCTGGTTCTAGTGTATCATGATCTCATAAGCAATCAATCATAGCATCCCACTCCCAATAATCCCTCATAGAAAAGAAATTGGAAAACAACCCACCAGAGGGTTGTGTGGGCCTTGCTGATGTACCACCATGACACTCCAGTGGGTCATGTAGAAGCCAATGTATTAAAAAAAAAATCTGGTTCTAGTGTATCATGATCTCATAAGCAATCAATCATAGCATCCCACTCCCAATAATCCTCATAGAAAAGAAATTGGAAAACAACCCACCAGAGGGTTGTGTGGGCCTTTGCTGATGTACCACCATGACACTCCAGTGGGTCATGTAGAAGCCAATGTATTAAAAAAAAATCTGGTTCTAGTGTATCATGATCTCATAAGCAATCAATCATAGCATCCCACTCCCAATAATCCTCATAGAAAAGAAATTGGAAAACAACCCACCAGAGGGTTGTGTGGGCCTTGCTGATGTACCACCATGACACTCCAGTGGGTCATGTAGAAGCCAATGTATTAAAAAAAAAATCTGGTTCTAGTGTATCATGATCTCATAAGCAATCAATCATAGCATCCCACTCCCAATAATCCTCATAGAAAAGAATTGGAAAACAACCCACCAGAGGGTTGTGTGGGCCTTGCTGATGTACCACCATGACACTCCAGTGGGTCATGTAGAAGCCAATGTATTAAAAAAAAAAAAACTGGTTCTAGTGTATCATGATCTCATAAGCAATCAATCATAGCATCCCACTCCCAATAATCCTCATAGAAAAGAAATTGGAAAACAACCCACCAGAGGGTTGTGTGGGCCTTGCTGATGTACCACCATGACACTCCAGTGGGTCATGTAGAAGCCAATGTATTAAAAAAAAAAATCTGGTTCTAGTGTATCATGATCTCATAAGCAATCAATCATAGCATCCCACTCCCAATAATCCTCATAGAAAAGAAATTGGAAAACAACCCACCAGAGGGTTGTGTGGGCCTTGCTGATGTACCACCATGACACTCCAGTGGGTCATGTAGAAGCCAATGTATTAAAAAAAAAAATCTGCTTCTAGTGTATCATGATCTCATAAGCAATCAATCATAGCATCCCACTCCCAATAATCCTCATAGAAAAGAAATTGGAAAACAACCCACCAGAGGGTTGTGGGGCCTTGCTGATGTACCACCATGACACTCCAGTGGGTCATGTAGAAGCCAATGTATTAAAAAAAAAAAAATCTGGTTCTAGTGTATCATGATCTCATAAGCAATCAATCATAGCATCCCACTCCCAATAATCCTCATAGAAAAGAAATTGGAAAACAACCCACCAGAGGGTTGTGTGGGCCTTTGCTGATGTACCACCATGACACTCCAGTGGGTCATGTAGAAGCCAATGTATTAAAAAAAAATCTGGTTCTAGTGTATCATGATCTCATAAGCAATCAATCATAGCATCCCACCCCAATAATCCTCATAGAAAAGAAATTGGAAAACAACCCCACCAGAGGGTTGTGTGGGCCTTGCTGATGTACCACCATGACACTCCAGTGGGTCATGTAGAAGCCAATGTAAAAAAAAAAAATCTGGTTCTAGTGTATCATGATCTCATAAGCAATCAATCATAGCATCCCACTCCCAATAATCCTCATAGAAAAGAAATTGGAAAACAACCCACCAGAGGGTTGTGTGGGCCTTGCTGATGTACCACCATGACACTCCAGTGGGTCATGTAGAAGCCAATGTATTAAAAAAAAAATCTGGTTCTAGTGTATCATGATCTCATAAGCAATCAATCATAGCATCCCACTCCAATAATCCTCATAGAAAAGAAATGGAAAACAACCCACCAGAGGGTTGTGTGGGCCTTGCTGATGTACCACCATGACACTCCAGTGGGTCATGTAGAAGCCAATGTATTAAAAAAAAAATGGTTCTAGTGTATCATGATCTCATAAGCAATCAAT